ATTTCAGGCTTTACAAATTTTGGGGATTTTCGAGCCAGGCGGCATTTGCTAACCTTGGATGCTGTGTTCCTATTATGTCTTTGTTTGTCACGTGTATGCACATGGCATATGCTTTGTTTTAATGCCATGTCAAGATGCGGTATGTTCCACGGCATATCCGTTGCAGTTCTCTCCCGAGTGAAAGTCATCGTTTGTGTCCCTCTTTTCCTCTTTTCCAGCATGATCCGCGACGGGGGTGACATATACTTGCAAGATGCTCTCGATGCCACCAATTCTTTGAGATATTGTATCAAAGCACACCACACCCGACGACAATCTGTAAAGTAAAACATTTGCAGTATATATACAACATATACTTTGACATGCCATGTACTGAGGACGCATGCGCCCGACGCGCGGCACATGAGTTACGTGATAGTTTTGTGGAAGTATCGGTATTGGGATGAGTACTGTTCTTAATAATATTAGTACTAGTGTTTGCTGTAATAGTATACATGTCAGTATTAGTAAACATAAATTAGTGTCAGTGCTCATGCTCGTGTTAGAGTTTGCGCTAGTGCCAGTGTCAATGTCAGTAATACAGCACCACTGCTAGTATCAGTGTCAGTCTTAATGTTGGGTTTAACCGCAGCTTATATTCGCAGAAGTGCTAGTATTAGTATCAATACTAGAACTAGTTTTGATTATGTTAGTATATTGATAGTTTCGTATAGTAGCAGACTAGTATATCAATATATTATTAATGCATTCGAACAGTAACATATTTGTATACTTGTATACTTGTATATTTGATATGTTAGTACAACTGGTGCACGAGTACACTCGTATATTGGTGTATTAGTTTACTAGTATGTGTGCTATACTCATGTATTGTCTAGTCATATTTACAAGTATATCAGTATGTTGGCATATTAGTCTACTAATTTGTCATGTCGGTATACTTGCATGTTGCAGTAGTCGTATATTAGTATAATCGCATATTAGTATAGTATATTCATACATTAACGGGAAGTATATTATTACATTGGTATATGGGTATATGTTTATGCCAAAACATTAGTACATGAATGCACTAATGTATATATCTGTATCTTAAGATAGTGGTATGTATTTTTATGTACATTAGTATATGCAGGTGTCTATTAGTAAAAAGACTAGTATTCATATCAATACGAATATACTATTGGTATTCGTAGGAGTTTTAATGTTGATATTAGAACTAAGACTATTCATAGTTGTATTAGCCATAATATAAGTGTTCATGCTGGTAATAGTACTGGCATTCATGAATATTCAACAGATTATCAATATCCGTATCAGTGTTGGTGATAGCATTATTGTTAACACCACAAAAGATTATGTATTCGTACTCGTAGGAGTATCAATACTATTGCAAATATTGATGTTAGTATCAATATTGTGATAAGTATTAGTAGTAGTATTAGCGTTAGTACTATAATATTATGAACACACTTGAAGTATGTGTCACGCTTTCCAGGCAATCAGGCAATGACCAGAAAGATTCGAAGCTGCCAGTTTGAGTATTGGCATCGGCACCAAAACATGGCAACAGTGACGGGCAACATGTTGAAGTTTTTGCACAACCACCGGTGATGCCTTCTGAAACATGGAGTGCCAGGTTTTGGATGGAAGAGCGGAGCCCGAAAGTGAAATCAGAATCCGTTTCGGGGTTCGTGGGGATATAACATGTGAGAACAAATTACAACATGTAGAGCTAAGTAGATGCTAGGTGCAGAAAATACCGCAAATACCGATGATTTTGTATGTAGGTGAAGTCATGTAGAAATCGAAGCATGAGCAGCAGGAGGTAGAAAAAAACATGGTATGGATCATGGGGGGGGGCGTGACCATATATATATATATATATATATATATGGGTATTATGTGTGTGTGTATATATATATATATGCACACACATGTGAGTGTATAGCCGTTGCGGAGTGGCCAAGTACGTGGGTAGTTAGCCTTTAGCATTTGGTGTAAATGCCAGACATCCGGAAACAACAACTCAGGGGTGCATTCAGCTACTCGGTTTGGGGCTTGTTCTGTGTCAACGAAGATACTGCTTCGGTTGTGTCTGTACCACAACCCAGAAATCGAGTAGGTAACCTTTAACCTTTGTTGGGTAGCATACTCCCTAGATAGTTCCCGTAAAACCCAAAAGGTTAACCTTTAGTTCCCCATGCCACAATCCTCTGCCCTATGCCCGAAACCCGAAGCCTAATCCCAAAATCGGAACAACGAGTGAAAGAGCCCCTCGTATCGTAGGTTTTTGGCTTGGGTACTGCCCCCACTCTGTAACAGGCATATGTTCTTTGTGATACATATATATATATATAGAGAGAGAGAGAGAGAGAGAGGGAGAGAGAGAGAGAGACAGAGAGAGAGAGAGAGAGGGAGAGCCCTCATGATGACCCCTCGTATAGGCTGTTAGGGTGTGGGGGCAGTACCCAATTTATGTTGCTTCTCGAAGGGTTTGCTTCTTGGGCTTCTGGTCCAGATTCGCTAAGCCGGTATTTCGCCTAGGGCGTTACCCATAAGCCCCATTGTAGTTCCTTTTTGGGATTACCTTGTAGCATTCTCTGTGGGACCTATGGGTAAGGTTTCAGTGTAATTTAATTGTTACGGGATTTCGGGTCTGAGGTTTTAGGGTTTAGCGTTTAGGTCTGGGGCTATGCTTCGATTTTCTGCACTAAGCCGCAGTCGCTGCTGTCAAACCGTCTGCAGCTTCCCGGACCCTAGAGGGAAAACGCTGCACCGTATTACCGGAAATCTTGGTTTCAAGGCTCAGCCCATAAGCCCTAAGCCCACGACACGTCATACCAAATGCCTCTGAACCTTAAAGCGTCCCTTGAGTTCATTCGTTGCTGAAGGGGTTCGGATAAAGCTAAAACCCAAGGGGAAAAGGAGGGACCCTTAACGGGGACCCCTACCCTATAATGGGCTTTATAATGGGTATATAATAGCTCCATTAAGGGTATATACCTAGGGGTCCTTATTAATGATCCTTCCTTTTACTCTTGGATACAACCCTGAATCGTGACCTCCCACAGCCGACGCTGGGCTTAAGGATTTTGATATGGGGCCTTACTAGTGTGTGCCCCTTTATACTCGAAATGTAATAAGGAACCCCCCAAAATAATATAGGTAATTCTATATACTAGAAATGTAATAAGGAACCCCCAAAAGCATAGGTAGTGATTCAGGCCCCTATATTAGGGTTGTAGAAAATAAAGTGTACGTCAAGCCTGAAACCCTAGACGCCCTGCATTTTCGCGGCTTCCCGGAGACTCCATGGCCCCTTGGTTAAGGTAGTTTTAAATTGGGAACCCTAATATGAATGTATATATTGCAATCTTTTGTGTTTACATAATTAAGGAATGTACATATTATATATATATATATATATATATATATATATAGAAACATATACATATGGGTGGTTGTCAAAATTAGGGTCCCTTTTGGGGTCCTTAATATAGTACGGCACCTAATATTCAGGGTACCCAACAAGAAACCTTAATTTTGACAACTACCCATATGCATATTCCTTAATTAAAGGGTTTTGGAGTCTCCGGGTTACGCAAGGAGAGCCTGACTGCCCTGGTCCGACAGGCCACTGAGCTGCATAGCAGGAGGGAGACTGTACTGGGGCAAACAAGAGAGGGGCCTTAGGAATTATATATAGTATAGTGGTCTAATTCTTGAGAACCCCTATAGTATAGTAGCAGGACGGGCCTTAGTAATTATATATAGTATAGTGGGCCCCAGAACCCTATTCTGATTATTAAGGCCCCTATAGTATAGTAGCAGGAGGGGGATTGCGCTGGGGCTTAGTAGGGTTTCTCAGGGTTTAGGGTTTAGAGCTTCTTAGGGGGACTTGGAAAGAGTTTTTCATGTTCGGTTGCTGTAAACCCTGAGAAGTAGATGAAATTATGATGTTTGCAAGGGTTCCGAGTTCAGTACAGGGTTAAGGGCTTCGGTATCTACGGCTTCACACACAGCGGGCTGAGGTGGGTCATAAATATGGTAACTATATACTGATATCCTGACTGCGTCCCATGATCATCCCAGTATTACTCAGGCCCTAGAATGGAGATCTAGGGGGAGTTCGGTGCCAACCTCCAGGAGATTGTGGACTCTGAGATTTGGGTCTCCTTAAACTTGCACATGATTCCTTTTCAGGGTTTTAATTGGGTTTCGGCTTTAGGAATGACAACACAAAGCCCCTTAAAACACCTGATCGCACTCAGGGGTTTAATTGTTAGAGTTTAGGGTTGATAGGAACTAAAATCCGAGCCCTAAAAAAGCTCCAAATCCTCCTAAAGCTCAGGCACAGCTCACCCAAAGTCGGCGTGCTGCCGCTTTCGCCCTCATCCGCGGCGACGGCCGGGACGGGGACCACCAGTAGTATGATATATGCATTGTCGCATGGTAGCCCCTCCCGTTCTTTGCCATGGGACTATGTGGTGTTTCAGGTTTCTTTCCGGAATTTCAAGGTTTGCAGTTGGATGATATGGTGTTGACGTCGAGTTTTGCAGGTCTTTTGCACTGTGCAGTTAGGGCCCAGACGAGCAGCATTCGTTTGAGTTCCAGAGCATACATGCTAGCAGTGCCTTAAACCCTAAACCAGTAAGCCCCTAAACCCCTAAACCCCTAAACCGCTAAACCCCTAAACCCTAAACCCTAGACCCTAAACCGATGCTGGAAGTCCGGGCCACAGTTGGATGCAAAGAGACTCAGGCGGAGGTCCTCTGAGCCCAGGAAGTTGGAAGTTGTATGGTACTTTTCCGCGCATGTACGGCGATGTGGGAGATTCCGAAATTAGGGATACCTTATTTTGGGGTCCTTGTATTAAGGATCCTACTATTTGGGGTACTATATTAGGGTCCCCTATTTTCGGAAACTCCCATGTCCTGGAGACAGTATTATGAATATTGGTATTAGTGTAGCAATTACAGTTGTTATAGGTATTGTACATGGACGTTGACGATGCCGGAACTGCTTCTTCTGGAAGGCGACCAAGAGCTAAAGCTCGACCTCGGCGTGGTGATGAAACCATATCTAGCGACTTGATACTCATTAGGTACGAGACTCAGCACAATTGTGGGCGTGAAGTGACAAATCGAAGAGGCATCTTCAACGTCTGCGGTGTGGAGATAAAAGATATGGGTCTTGAGAACACTGACACGGTGATTGACTTGATCGAGCAAATGTCCGATCACAGGGATCGATGCCTTCCTCAGCGTGGCGACCAACCTTTGTATGCCCGTGATGTGGAAAACGGCGGTTATGCAAACCACGGATATCAGAGCATTGGGGACCGTGTCACAGGTGGGATCTTGGACCTCATTCCGTTGAGAGGTGCGAGGTTCGTGAGTAGACAATTGGGACATTACCGACCATGTTGTCTGGAGGAAGTTGACCCATCAAACTCTGGGTATTGTTAGACTTACAGAGTTCGGGTCCACCTCATCTAAGCTTCTTAGACCCTCGCCTAGACTAATGACTAGTGGCCTAAGTCGTCTTGACGACACGAGCGCGGCATCAGTGTTCGGTCTGCTGAACGAGTGGACGGATAAGCAACTATTGTGACTATAACTTTAGTCATAAATTTTGTAGTCTGTTTAACTATTATAATCACTATGCTTATTATAGTCTTCGGATTTGCGTGTCTGCATTGCTCCCTACATCAGATTCCTGCCCCTGTACCGCTCCTTTCCCTCCGAAGCACAAACAACCAACAAAAGCACACACGGAGCACCTAAGCATGTAAAGCCCCCAAACCATAAACCCTAAATCCCATCTGCCAAACCCTGAATCACAAACAATAACCCTGGAACGAGAGCCAAACAACAACTCTTAAACACCTTACCTTCGCTTTCGAAAGAAAGCACCAGTAGCTGAGTAGGGGACCTTTAACCTTTGGGGGCTTATTTCATTCTACCTTATATAATTGAGAAGGATATATATATATATATATATAACCTCTTTTGGCCTAGGGGACTCAGCCCGTAAACCCTAAACCTTTTTCCCTTAAACCCCTAACCCTAATTCTAAACCCTTAACCTAAAACCCCTAAAACCTAAACCTTAAACCTTACAAACCCTAAACCCAAAACCTTAAACCCCTTAACCCTAAATCCTAAACCTTTCCTTTTTGGCCAAGAGGTACCGTGGTGACCTGGGGCCCTGGCCGCTTCGGCGGAGACAGCAGCGCCGTGCAGTGCCTTTCTCTGCATGTTGGGTTTTTTTCTGGAGATCCCTCAGGGTTTAGGGCTTGGGGGTTTATAGCGGTTTAGGGTTTAGGGTTTTGGGGGTATAAGGGGGTTAGGGTTTTGGGAGTTTAGGGTTTAGAGGTTTAGGGTTTTGGGGCTTTAGGGTGTAGGGGTTTGGGGTTTAGGGTTTAACGGGTGTAGGGTTTAAAGGTTTAAGGGCTTTGGGTTTGGGGGTTAAGGGTTTGGGGTTTAGCTGGTTTAGGGTTTCAGGTTTACGGGTCGTCCCTTAAGGGTCCCTTATAGTAGTCCCGAAAACCCATTCACCCATTCCCTACTAAGAACCAGATAGTTTACGGCTGACTTTGTTCTAAAGCTCTTCAAGGGTTCTCAAGGGGGTCCCAAGGGGCTCCTTAAAGGGGTCTATCGGGTAATGGGATTTAAGATTGTAGGGTTTAGGGTAACAGGCTTTAGAATTGTAGGGTTTAGGGATTAGGGTTTAGGTTTATAGGCTTTAGGATTGTAGGGTTTAGGGATTAGGGTTTAGGGCAATATAAGCTTTGGGGTTGTCAGATGTTGTGCCAGGTTTTGGCGCTTAGGGGGCCTTCCGAAACATGTTGGGAGATGACTGTCTGGTGCTTTGCAGGGAATGGGGGGCTGGATCCCTATAGTAGCCCCTGTATAATCCCCAATAATAGCCCCCATAACCAGTTCCCCCATTCCCTACTCAGAACCAGCCAGATGAGGCGGTTCCAGGGCTCTCTGAGGGGTAAGGTTTTAGAACGGCCCCTCAAGGCTTCTTTAACTTAAGGGTTTAGGGTGAAGGGGAATTTAGAAGGGCTCTGTAAGGGTTCCAGACGGGTATTTGTAAGGGAACATTCATCAAGGGTATTCAAAACGGGCTCTGTAGGGGCTTAGTGGTCGTCTCTTAATGGAGTTCAGAGCTGTGGGGGCATGGGATTATCGAGTTTCGGACTTCAGCGCTGCAGGTTTGCGAGGTTTAGGGCATTCGGTATGAAGTCGTTGGGCTTAGCGTTTTAAGCTTAAGACCTGCAGCCATGGGCAGTTGAGTGACTCTCGAGTTTGGGGCTGTTGTGGGTGTTTTCGAAAAATAGGTACCTCATGTTGGAGTCTATATTATAATAAGGATCCTACTACTTAGGATACTATACTAGGGTCCCCTATGTTCGGAAACTCCCTAAACCCTCATCCCTTATAGAAGTATAGAGCCCTTATAGACCCCTTTAAGGATCCCTTTGAAGGAACCCTAGGGTCCCCTACTTTCGGAAACTCTCTTGTGGGTTAGGGTTCAAAATCAGGATTTAGGCTGCAGCAGTACAGGGTCAGGGTTATTAGGGCTTCAGGGTCTAGCGGCGTTAGTGGGCTTCAGTAAGGGGTTCAGGGTTGAGGATTTTGCAATCCGAGATGGCTTGAAAAATGACGGTCTGCGATTATGAGCATGTCAGATTTAGTGTTGAACGTCTGAGATTTCGGGTGGTTTTCCGGGTTTGGAGCATAGATGTGGTCTTAAGATCTGAGGCTGCGGGGGCTGCACGTTAAGGGCTTCGCGCAGCATGTGTGTTCAACAGGGACACGGCGTTTTTGTGTAGCATCTGTGTGCATGCGGCATGTTGCTAAATGGCGCTGCGGCTTGAAGTCTCAACGCTGGCTGGAATCAGTATCCCCATTAACGTGTGCCCAGAGGACACTGTGCTGAAATTGCGGTGTGTGGCCGAATGCAAGCTGAACATACTGATCAAGCATTTGGTGACTGCAGATGCACACATCATGGCTGATGAAAGACAGGCTGTTGCTGAAGCAAACATCAAAGATGGAGATGTTCTGCAAGCCCTGGCGATGACAAAGGACGACAAGATCGATGCGATTGTCAAGGACAAAGAGAATCAGATGGAGAGCATCGGAGTGGCCCCTCGTGTGCACGTCGATCGTGCGGGTGAGTATGTGATCATTGCAATGCACTGGCAAGTACGGGTCTCCGAAGACTACGATCGTTGGGAGTATATGCTTCACCACTTGACTTCCTGGAGGCGTGGTGCTGCAGCTCTTGATGGGGCAGCTTTTGAGACTGGCGCTAGATTTGATTTTTGCGATGGAGGTTATGACCTGATCTTCGTGGGAGACGGAGAGTATGAGAAGAGACGCCGGACTCGTCTTGGCCGTGACGATGGCACGGTGTATCGCAAGAGCCTTCACAGTCTGCTACAGGCACGGTTAAATGCTGACTCAGCAGAGAAGCGCTTCTCAGCATGAGCCCGAACTGCACAAAGTGCGCGCGCCGAGGCGATGTCATGCCGTCGTGCTCCTAACGTCACAAGGTGTTGGCAGCCTGCGCGCCAAGTGTACAGAGTGTAGCAGCGTTTAGCAGCCTTCAATTCTCAAAAGCAAGGTGCGCAGATTTTTGGTCCTTAAACCCTATAAGGAAGCCCTAAGCTGTAGAAGGCCTTACAAAATCGATACGTAAGCCCTAAACTGTATAAGCCCTTATTGCCCTATATGAATAAGGCTTAGGCTTAGACTGTGTATACGCCCTATGTAGGAGGTAATTAGGCTCTGTATACGCCCTATGGGGGACTGTGATACGCATCTTAAAGGCTTAGGTTTTAGGGTCTACTTGGAGGTTCATGGGATAGTTATCAAGTAGGGTTTAGGGCTCTTTTAAGGGTTCTAAGGGTAGTTATAAAGTAGGGATCGGAAGTAGGGTAATTAACTATACTTACAACTCATATTAGGAGACTTATAACCCTACCTATAACTACCCATGAACCTCCAAGTAGGGTTTAGAACCTTCAAGCAAGCAGTGGAGGAACATATCCCAGAGTCCCGAGACGCAATATCCCATACCCCACGTCTGTGAACCCCACTAGAACAACACCACTATAGGAAACTCCGGTACGGAGCAACCTAGGGTCCTCTCAAGAGTAGAACTGTCTACGGCAACCCTCGATAGGTCAGTGTACACATGCTACGGAAGCCTATCGGAAATCCGATGAGTAGCCGTCTGTTATTTCAATAAGCTAGAACGCTCAAAGCATCTCATGCTGAAGCTGCAGCACCTCAAGGCTCATGATATTCGCACTCACCATCGGCGATCTCATATTGCGAGAGAGACGTCTATACCAATACTAATACAAGCCCATTGTCAATCCATGAGACCCCATGTCATGGTCAACTGCCAAAAGTCGTCTACAGTGACACCCTAGAGCGCCCCAAAACCGACTGGTCTGAAGAAGCGAGTTAACCCGACAATTCCCAACACTCTAGAATTTAGAATGCTTAAAAATCGACAAAAGCGCATACAATTTTGTATGCATTTTGATTAACACATGAAAAGCCATATAGCAAGCTGCTCAAGCTTTGTGAACGAAGCTCTAAATGCAAGCAACCTAGTAACAGAGCCGCAAGCCGTAAGCCCTTCTTCTAGCACCCTTATAGAACCCTCAACCCCAACCCCAAACCCAAAAAACCTTAAACCCTAAGCCCGAAAACCTAAAGCCCTAGCCCTTGTACCCGTGTAGATCCCTTCAAGGAAGCCCTTATAGTACCGACCCACAATGTCCTAAGTACCTACGTGGTAGAATGTAGGGTTGCTATCGTAGGAAATAGCATTATGATTTGGGGAAGGTGTTCCCCATAACAGTACCTAGTACCCTTTGGACCTAGCCTTTGTACCCGTATAGATCCTTTCATGATGAGCCCTAAACCCGGAACCCTAAGCCCTACTGAAAGGAAAACTACACCCTAAGCTCTACACCCTAAATCCTAAACTCTAAACCCTAAATCCTAAACCCTGAACCCTAAATCCTAAATCCCAAAACCCTCAACCCTAAATCCTAAACCCTAAACTCTAAACCCTAAACCCTAAACCTTAAATTCTAAACCCCAAACCCCCCAGCACGAGGTCCGAGCTCTGGGACGTACGAAAAATTGCGGCGTCGACTCTCGCCTTTGCGGCGCTCCGCGGAGATGGCGAGGCTTCTCTCAGCTCATCTTAGGGGTACTTAGAAATATTTTTAATTTTTGGTTATTATAATCCCTAAGAAACAGCTAAAAATATATTTTTGGCTAGGGTTCCAAGTTCAGTATAGTCATTGTGAACCGCAGAAAGTTGGAACATAAATTAAGGAACAAGGATGATTAGTGCTACGGTTGATGATGTAAATCCTGCATTGCCTTAATGGCCCTAAAACTATGGGATTTATGGCATATTCCTTACCATGGGTACTGCAGGATTTATATCATCAACCGCAGGATTCCTTGTACTGTACCTTAAGGGTATGAGGACAATGGTGTTGCAACTTTCTGGCTTCTACTGTGTTTTAGGGCTTTGGGTTTTGAGGGTTTAGGGGTTTTAGGGTGTTAGGGTTTTAGGGTTCTGGGTTTAGGGTTTGGGTTTTGGGCTTAGGGTTCAGGGTTTTGGGTTAGGGGTTTTACGGCTTTATGTCTTATAAAAAAGGATGGCTACGGGTTTTGGGCGTTGGGTTCAGGGTTTAGGGTTGGAGGGCGGGTGGGTCTGCCAAAGCAAGACTTGAAACCCTAAAGGCTATAAAGACCCGAGATGCGGCAGCCAGACACGACAGGCATTCGTCTCTGCCGTGTGAGAATCCAGGGACCTTAAGACTTTGACTGGTTGTTCCTTATATAAGAGTTCTACGTGGGTTCTATGATGTGGGGGCCTCAATAATTGAAATATGGTGTTGGGATACATCATACTCTTATGTTGGGACTACGTAGTAGGGACTACTGCTAGTAAGTATTTAGACATTTACATATCAAGGTCACCGCCCTGCATCCCTAAATCCCCAAGCCCTAGGGTGAATCCCAGAAAGTTGGAACATGGATTTAGGATGATAAATGCTTGAGGGGAATGATGTCACAACTTTCTGGCTTCTGCTGTAAATCCTAAGTGTTTTAGCAAAAGCCCTTGAGTCGGCTTCCGGAAAGGTCGTGACCTGGGGCCACAAAGACTTTGGCGGTTCTTGCGACCCTGTGAAGGACACTGCCGGGGGCTTCTTAGAATTCGGGGCCGGATCCTTGAGAATCTAGGGTTTAGGGTTTAGAGTTTGGGGTTTAGGGTGTAGGGTTGTGATGAGGTACTAGTCTCGGGGCTTAGGGTTCAGGGCTTCGTAGGATTTAGGCTTATAAGGCCCAGTAGTTTCAGTTTACATCAATACCCGCACAGGTTAAATGTAGAATTTGACAAACTGCTTTACGAACTGAAAGCTTGGACCCCTAAACCCTGCCAAAAGGCCTTGCATCTTGACGCAATCTGGCAGCAAACAGCGTAGGGAGGCTGACAAGAGTTCAAAGAAATCCTACCCATAGGCCCCAAAGTAGTTCCTTTTTGGGATTACTTTATAGGATTCTTAATATGAGCCCCCAAAAAGGAACTACTTTGGGGCCTTAGTGTAAAGCGAAGACTTTCTGAGGCCCATGGAGTGCCAAGGAATCTCCGGAAGAATGTGAGCTCTGGGCTGGTTTAGGATTTGGGTTCGACTAGGCTGAGGGGTACTTAGAAATAATAGTTGATTTTTGGTAATTATAATCCCTAAGAAACAGCTAAAATGATAATTTTTGCTAGGGTTCTCAGTTCAGTATAGTAGGGACTCTTCTGTAAGAGTTGCTTGCGTTGTTACTATACGAGGGCCTTGACAGTTGAAACACGGTTCCTGCTTAGCGCGCTTTTGTTACATGATACGGGGGCACAAGGTACTTGGAATGGGGGCTTGGGGGGTTTAGTATACGTAGTATAGTATAGTGTCGAGCAGTATAGTAAAGTATAATTAGCACAGTGCAGTGATTTATGCCAAGAAACCCGAAGGAACACTTACTGAGAGCCTTCGGAGTGCTAGAGGCCTGCACAGGCGCACTGCATAGCATGTGGGTGGTTGTCAAAAGTGTGGTCCCTTTTGGGGTCCCTAAGTGCCTAATATAGTACGGCACCTAATATTTAGGGTACCCAAAAAGGGACCACAATTTCGACAACCACCCATGTCGCACCATGTCATACTCTGGCGGTATCTTGGTGGGGTTTAGGGCTTTTAAGAATCGTGCAAGACGTAGCAGCAACACGTATGAGGGTTGTTGAGTCACATATGGGCGTGTCAGAAGGTGGGGTACCCATGCATAGACCCTGAATGTCAACACTCAATAACGACATCTGAATTGGAACCCCAAAGGTAATGCACTCTCATGTCCAAACACGGCTTCGTGTTGAAAACCACGAATGTTGAACACCACAAACTAGAAGAGCTTCTTCCCGTAGCCAGATACCTGAAACCCTAAACCCTGCATGAACATGAGTGGCACATCATCCCATATCATTTGTTGGGCAGGAGCAACTGCATCACGTCGAGCACATCGCGGCAACGCGCGATGCGGCATGGCCCACCTAGCCTGTAGCTTTTGGGTTTAGGGCTTTGGGTTTGCAAGTTTTTGTATAGATAGGAGTACTTTCCGAGACAATGCGGTATTTAAAGGACTTATCAGGTTGCATGGTAGGGATAGTTCCCGGGTAATAGGGCTGTTGAAGGTCTTACCGGGATTCCAGCATGGTCTGCAGTCAACATTAAATCAAGGTTTCGCAAAATAAGGTCCTAAACTCTAAACCTCGAAACCCAAAGCCCCCGAAAACCCTCAACCATCCTAAAACCTTCAGGCCTAAGGCCCTACCCTGAACCCTAAACCTGATACCTATTACAAAACCTAAACGGCCGTCTCCGCAGCTTCAACCTTCCAACTGCTGTTGTGCCCGACTCCTTTCCTAAACCATCAGCACCCAAACCAAAACCCTACTTGGAGGTGCATGGGTAGTTATAGGTATGGTTATAAGTCCCTTAATATGAGTTATAAGTATAGTTACCCTACTTATAACCCCACCCCACTTATAACTACCCATGAACCTCCACGTAGGGTCTATAAACAAGCCTTGGGCTGTCTTTGCTGACATCTCGCGGACAAGTCTCCAGGCCTTTGCAGCCGTCCGGTCGGATGGTGGCGTGGTGACTTGGGGTGTCGGAGCCGAATTCAAGATACTGTTTCTTCAGGGTGTTTATGGCTCTAATCGCGGATGCCTGAGTTCAAGATACTGTTGCTTCAGTTTCAGGGTGCTTATCTTTTAACGGCTCTAATCAATCGTGGATGCCTTATGTTTTTTCTAGGACCCAGAGTAGGCCCTTATTCCCTTTTTAAGGGTTTAGGTTCCCTTATAACCCCCTTTAAACCAAAAAGGGCACCCTTTTTCTTCCTAGGTT